GCTATACGGGCAAAGGGCTCCCCAATAATAGGCATAGACATAAGCCTAGCTCGGGGGTGGTCCCCCCGCTTTCCTACCCGTTGACATATGTCACACGTACTGCAATACATCCGCACAGCCTGGTTAAGGTTTGGCCAAAAGAAGTTCTGCATGATCCTATAGGCTGTGCGGCGGGAACCTAGATGTCCAGCTAGCGGAACATCATGCCCTATCCGCAGAATCTCCTGCCGGTATTTTGCGGGCACCACCAGCTGTCGATTCGGCGGAGGGGCAACACTTTTCGGGGAAAGCTTGGGGATCCTATACAACCTGTCCCCCACCCACTCATACCGCTCCCCATCTACTCCCTCCTCTCCAGTATCTGCTCTGTCCCTATACTTCTGGAGCGTCGAATCTATCTGAGTTTCCCTCCCAAACTCCTCTGGGGAATCCCAGCTAACAGAGGTCTGTTCTAGGGTACCAGTCGGGGAATCGGGTCTTACCTGGGTCTTAGCAGCAGGTGGGCTGGTTACAGCAGCACAGGTCTGGGCACGGGTAGTCACTGGGTGGATGTCAGCAGGTCCCATTGGAGCATAAGCGGACACCAAAGGGGCCTTGTCATTTCCAAGCAAAACATCAGCAGGTAAGTCTTTCATGACCCCCACATTCACGTGTCCAGAGCCCACCCCCCAATCCAAGTGAACCCGGGCAACCGGTAAACGGAACACTGCACCTCCCACCACCCTCACTGCCACAGTATTTCCAGTGTGTTGGTGTTCTGAAACAAGGTTCTTTTGGAGCAAAGTCATAGTGGCTCCGGTGTCTCTCAGACCAGTTACTGCTTTGCCATTCAGTTTAACGGTCTGCCTGTGCTGTTGACGGTTATCCTGCTGCGCTGCTTGTACTGGATCCGCCTCATGTAGTATACCCCAAAATTCCTTCTGCTTAAGGCAGTGAGCGGAAGGTTGGGGTGGTTGCTGATTCCCGCCGACTGGTCTTCTCCACGACTGGGCTTGGCTAGAATTATTTAATGGGCACTCGGGTCGCTTGTGCCCCAACTGCTTACACCCATAGCACCTGATAGGCTGGGAGTAGTCCCGGGCGTTGAACCGGGCTGGCTGAACATAATTGTTCGCGGTTGGCATGGTGGGGGTGCGTTGCGCTGGGGTTTGATACACTGCAATGGTTGGAGGGGCTGCTGGTTTGTACTCCACTCGGGTAGGGACCTTGGCTGCTGTCTGGTCCAGTTTCCTGGCATCAGTGTACTCATCAGCCAGACGAGCAGCTTCGGGTAAGGTAGCGGGTTTACGGTCCCTAACCCACTCTCTGACTCCTGCAGGTAAGCGGTCAAAGCAGTGCTCCAACAAAAATACTTGCAGTACTTCTTCCCCAGTTACCGCTTGGCACCCTGCCATCCAGTGGGCTGTGGTACGGTGTACTCGGCATGCCCACTCAACATAGGAATCGCCAGCCTGTTTGTTGGTGTCCCGGAATCGCCGCCGGTACGCCTCAGGGGTCACAGCGTACCTGGCCAAAAGGGCATCCTTCACTGCCCTGTAGCTGGTAATTTCTTCCTCTGGGATGGCCCGAAACGCCTCACTGGCCCGGCCGGATAACTTCCCAGAGAGGATGGTGACCCATTCCTCTGCGGGTACCTGGTGTAAGGCACATTGCCTTTCAAAATCAGCCAGGAACCCATCAATCTCTCCTTCGGCTTCTACAAAATTTCGAAATGCAGCAAAGGGTACTTTTCTCCTTCCATTATTATTATATGGTACCTCAGCTGCTGCAGCGCCTCTTCCTTGAAGCGCCTGTTGTGCTGCTACTGCCGCTTGCACTTGAACCACAATATCTGCTGCAGGGTTGGGGCCAAAGTGTGCCAGCCTGATCTGAACTGCCCGGTTAAATTGTATCTCCTCGGGTGTTAACTCCAGTATGCCAGGCACATCAGCTCTCCCCGTTCCCTGTGCTGCATCCATTTCCAATAGTATGGCAATAATCTCCCTTTTCTTGAGATTACTCGCTGATCGTCCTCTGCGTTCTAATATATCTTTAAGGGTAGCACGCCTTAACTCTTCATACTGCATTTCCAACCTGGGATGTGTAGCTGGCCTTCTGGGCTGTAGGATTCATCCCGTCGCTTGCCACCAATTGTTAAGACACTCACCGCCAGGTAGATGAAGCCGCCGTTTAGTAATAATCCCCTTCTCCAGAAATGCAGTTTATATCCAGCCGACCGCCAAACTCCCGAACGAAGTCCACGAACACGGCAACTCCCGATCAGCAAAACAGTCGAACGCCTTCCACAGCTAAAAATAACGAAAGCGCTGTCCCAGTAGTAATTCCCCCACAAACGAGACCAAGCTCCGTCTTGAGGGTCAAATAAGGATCTGTTTAATGGGGGCTACCTGCCCGGTATTTATGCAGGTCTCCACAAGGTGGACACTCCCCGAGGGGACCTTGTGGAAGACTGTAAAACATATTGTACAGTAGCCAATCGCAGTGGCTTCAATATAAGCCCTTCCCATCTTACCCATAAATCCGTCTGCTCTACCTCGGAGATAATTAGGAAGAAACCTAATTATCTCCCAGGGTAGAGACCATCGCCATTTTAAAATACAGTCACCAAAATACATTAAAATACATATCTGGGAAAATACCGAATGGATATAGTTCGTGTAACGCATCCCCAGACAGCCTGGATCTGAGTGCATGTTTTCACCGAATAGCGCTCAGATCCGATGTATCTAGTCGAATCGCCATGGAGTCAAAGTCTTTCACCAGTCCTTCGGTATACGAATGACTCCATGGGACGGCTGTCTGGGTAAAAGTCCATACGAATGAATAAAAACTCCGAACGACCGACGTTCGCATGCCTTGTCGAAATAGAAGGTGGGCAGCAGCTTCCAGCGGTGTTCGGTAGTTTAAGTGTCCGTTTTTAGTTCCATACAATTTGTACCGAACACCGCTATGCGTTCGTGTGTCCCAAAATGGCCGCTGCCTCGTGGTCGACACATTCTAATTGGGGCCAAGAGGTTAACCAGCAGCACACTCCTCTCCTGGGTGGTCGTTCGTTCGGTAGTTTCAATCGGTAGTTTACAAATTACACGAACGGGGGTATACGAACAGGAAATCTGTCACAATATTTTACTATACAAAGTTTTTTCTTTTTTGTAATGATCACTGATATTGCATGTCATGTGACAAACCCTGGCAGGGCCGCCATCAGGGGGTGACAACCATAATGGTTGACATGGGCCCGGCGGTCCTGGGGGGCCCGGACTGCTTTGGCAGTCCAGGGCCCCACAATTACTCTCTGCACCTATATATAGCGATGATTGCTATATATAGGTGCAGCCGCGGGCCCCCAGCTCCCTGTATTTGCAGAGGGGGTCCAGCGGACTGCAGCTGTACTTTACAGCATTTCCCTCGCTCTCACTCCCGCGAGACGTGCGGCCGTTAGAGCGTTGCCATGGATTACCATGGCAACGCGCTGCGTGGTGCGCACATCACATCTTGCGGGAGTGAGAGCGAGGGAAATGCTGTAAAGTACAGCTGCAGTCCGCTGGGCCCCCTCTGCAAGTATAGGGAGCCGGGGGGCCCCACAATGCCACCGGGCCACCAGGGATAATGGAATCTCCCCCCCTCCCTGAACCAGGTAAGAAACGGGGAGGGGGGAATAACAGTTATCACATTACATGCATACACTAGTAAACACACACACTGCATTCACTACACTAACACACACACTGCATCCACTACATTAACACACACACTGCATCCACAACATTAACACACACACTGCATCCACTACACTAACGCACACACACCATCCACAACACTAACACACACTGCATTCACTACACTGAATTCACTACACTGACACACACTCTGCATTCACTACACTGACACACACTCTGCATTCATTAAACTAACATACACACTGCATTCATTGCACTAACACACACTCTGCATTAATTACACTGACACACACACTGCATTCATTGCGGGGGGGGGGGGAGGGGGGGGGGCTGGCGGGATTGTGGGATTGATTTTACCAACGGATTAAAGGTAAATTTGAATGGCAACTGAAAGAGGGCCTTGTTTTAAGCTCTATCCATTGTTAAGTTTTATCAACTGCTATCCAGCATGAAAAGTAATCCTTACTTTTCTTTGTGTATTTTATGAAAACTAAAGCGCGCAGTGGAAAATAAAAAGTGATTCAAACATAAGGAACTCTACAGAAGCACCACTTTAAGCATTAAAAACCACTACATATTAATACAGAGGTTTAGGTACAAATACCCTTTTGTATCTTTATTTGGGTTTAATATACATTTGTAGTCGGGGACAAAAGCCATACTTATAACAGGTTAGATATTTGAGCAAGTCAGTTGTGGTGTGCTGAAACCGAAGTATCGGGTAAGCTTGTAATAAAAGAGGGCAAAAAGGTAGAATGAAATTCACTTTATTATACATATTTACAAGGAAAGATTCTTAAAGGCTTGTCTTAATTCTAGCTCTGGTTGTGGCATGTATGTGGAATACACTGCGGATTTCCATCGTCCTAATCTTTTAATGATGTAAGCTGGAACGTTTTGTCTTGATGCGGCAGAGGTTGCCCCTATTCTGAAGGAGTGTCCTGTAAAGGCATTGGGGTTAAGTCCCAGCCTAGGTTATAGAGTTCTGATGTATGAAACTAACTTGGCTCTGGTGAGTAGTTTGCCCTGTATAGTCAATAGGGCCTTGTTAGTATTTATGTCAACGAGTGATGCTACATACCGGTCTAGTATTACCACCGGGCACCATTTGTAGGCCGTGGGATAGTAATTTATTTCTGTAGGTGGTCCTGATTGGTTGGTTTTAGTGTGACTGATGGTGAGAACATAATGATCCGAATGTTTGTTTAGGTCGGATGCTTTCAGATAATTTTTACAGAATGTGATGTCAGCAGTGAATTCATTGGGTAGTAAGAATCCACAGAATGCCAGGTAAACTGCAATTTTGATGGAGAGTTTCGTATTTGGTTCAAAGGGCTTGGTGTCTAGTAGGTCGGATAGTGCCCGGAATCTAGGACCGTCTATAGGTTGTCTTTTAGTTGTTGTGGGATTATCTAGACGCTGTATGCCTCTGAGTATATTCTTCACGGGGTAAGAGCACATAAATGGTTTGATGCTAGGATAGGCACTTAATATATGGTGTTGTATACCAGTGATGTAGAGTTTTATGGTGTTTAGGGAGAGTTTTAGGTGAGGGTGGCAAAAGGATATAAATGCTACTTTGGAATCCAGAGAATGTACATCTGCAACTTGATCTTCAGACATAAATTTGCTATGATTTGAAGGTGTTGACTGAAAGTGCAGCACTAGCCAGGAACCTGTTGTGCGCCATTAAGCTGGTCAGTCCAGGATTAGGTCTTGAAACGAGGGGGTGGGCACTGGCGTTTTGACGGCCAACGGGTGGGCTTCTAAAAATATCTGAAATTAAGAGCGAGACAGGGCGTCAGATGCTATGTTTGTGTGTCCTGGTATGTGGAAGCATGTGACGTGAAAGTGTAACGTGGCTGCGAGCCACGTGAGACGTCTGACTAGCCTAATGATTACGAGGGAGGAGGATCTGCCTTTGTTTAGGATGTCACTTGCAGCTTTGTTATCTGTAAAGCATTTTACTGCTTTACCTTCCCATAGGTGCCCCCAGACTTTGGCAGCCGCAACTATGGGGTATATTTCAAACAAAGCTGAAGTTGTGTGGAATGAGGGCAGATTTGTGGTCTCCAAGTGTCTCTAAACCAGGTATTGTTGAAAATAGCGGCAAACCCTCTATGTGCTGCAGCATCTGTCCAGATAGCGGAAGAATGTTCTGAAACAGGGGGTATGAACATTGATTTACCGTTCCAGTGGGACAGAAACCTGAGCCACATGTGGAGGTCTGCTATGGCGTGTTCATCTAGTGTTATGGTGCGGATGTCACTTGTCAGTTGGGGGAGAAGACTCAAGAGCCTTGAGATGAATGCTCTGCCTTGTGGTATTATCCTCATTGCAAAGTTTAGTGTACCTAGTAAAGACTACAGTTCGGTTTTTGTACACTTGTTTCCCATCAAAAAAAGACTCCACTGATTGTATGATTCTGATGACTTTTTCTGGAGGTAGGCTAGCTGGTAGCGCAACGGAATCTAGCTGGATTCCTAGGAAAACCAAGTTGGTGGTAGGCACTACTGTCTTCTCCTGGGAGAGTGGTACCCCTAATGTTGCAAAAAGCACCTTTGTTTTGTTAATGCTGGTGGGTGTTGTGTGTGAGGCTTCTATTGTGAGAAAGTCGTTCAGGTAGTGGATCACAGATCGACATTCGCATATGTTGAGAAGGAGCCAACCTAGTGTGTCTGCAAATACGTTGATTAATTTCAGACTGCTTTTAGTTCCGAATGTCAGCCGTGTGGCAAAGTAGAATACCCCCCCCCCACCCACTTAATGCAGTGCACATGCTAGCTGTCTCTAGATGGTCTGTTGGGGTATTGGGTCTGGGTGGGGTGAGGGGTCTGGCTGGGGTGCTAGGCAGGGAGAGTTCTTCTTGTTCCGGTATCTGTGACATTCTACAATAGAAGAATTTAATAGTGAGTCATGGGCAGGGCTGAGTCGGCCTATGCCAACTGGCTTCTAGCTAGCTATCGTATATATCATGACATATATATACATGGCAAATTTACCTAGTCTTAGTAGGGGAGATAAGGCCTGCTTTAATGCCTAGTGTTTTCGAGAGGCCTTACCCATGCTTAAGTCTTTAAGAGACTAAGAGAGGGGGCATGATTGGAGCGGCCCTAATTACACCATAGGGAATGATGTGAAGCGTTATCTATGTATTGGGTTAGGGGTTGAGTATGGGGGGGAGCATGCTTCACAAGGTTAGTTTAAAAGATTCTAACAATATAGCCAGTTGGTTAATCTATCAGTGCTGACAGGGGTAGTGGTAGGGTTTCCAGGGAAGAATGGGATGCGGGCTTTCTTGCCATGGGCTTAAGGCAGACTTACCTAGGTCGTATGGAACTGCTGGAAACACAAAAGAGGGGGGTTGTCTGAACTTTAGGGAGTACGTAAAGAGAATATGGATGACATGGACAGACCCGGTCATATGCATATAGGGGTGGCAACTAGTAAGAGAGTGAGGATAAAGATGTCCTAGTAACGTCTGCCCCCCCCCCCCCACAACGTAGTGCAATTCTATACCTGAATCGTGGTACCGGTGGATCCTGTTGCTCTGAGGATGGGAGGCTAGTTTGTGATGTAGTTGTCACCTTGTTTGGTATAGATATATACTTATTAGGGTGGCATAGGAGACAAGAGTATATGGAAGTACGAATGGCAGTGGTAGTTTACTTAAAAATATGATTGTGACATAACATGTGAATGAAATTAGCGGACTTACGTTTTTATGGTTCTGAGGGGAAGTAAATATTGGCCGTATAGGCTGCTGAAAAGCAGTACGGAAATAATGGTAAGCCTAGTTATGAGGAAATAAGTGACTTTTAGTATACGTATGGTGAGATAGATAGTGCAGACAGTAGAGGCTGCATGACAATGGCAGCTCTGCGAGGCTGCATGACATGATTCTTTATCCGTATGTGCATATGCAATTTAAAACAGTATTGGTCTGGGTGAGATGGGAGTAGTAGTATTATAACAGGAGTGATAGGACCAAATTTCTCTCTGCATAAGGGATTATACCGAACAATGTCGTGTAAATATTTGACCATTAGGTGGCAGTGCGGTAATGATTTGACCTGAGTGTTCGACTAATTGGTCAGTTGCCGAACAGGTGAATTACTTAGACTGTGGAGAAAGTGTGGGAACGAACGGTTCGTGCGGTAAGTTTATACGAACGGTGATGGGCTGGTGTGTATTTGCCCATTCGGGCAGACTCACTGTTCGTTGATCTGGATGCTGGGGGAGCGACCCGGAAGTGCAAGAAAGGTAAAAGGTCGACCGTGTGACCTGCTGGGCTGTGGAGCCGGTGTTCTATCATTTTGGTATACCCCGTCAGATTGCTATACCCACGTCACTTCCGGGGAGGGGAATCAGCTGTCTCCTGTGCTGCACATGCGTGCTAGCACTCCTGATACTCCTCCACAGCAAGGTCCTGGAAGGTAAGTAAAACTAGTTTTACACTTTCATTATAGTTAGTGCATTCACTAAGCTTAGGACATGGGACATTTAGGGTTAATGTTAAGGTTCAAATTAGGGTTAGGATTAGGGACTTGTTCCTATTTAGTGATATTTCACATTAGGGGAATATCACTAAATAGTGATTTCTCACACTTTATTTTAACCCTTACCCCAAGGGTTAGGGTAAGAATAGAGTGTGAGAGAGGTTAGAAGCACTTACCTAACCCTAATTTGTACCCTCACTTAACCCTAAATGTCCCGTGTGCCTAAGCTTAGTGAATGCACTAACTATAATGAAAGTGTAAAACTAGTTTTACTTACCTTCCAGGACCTTGCTGTGGAGGAGTAGCAGGAGTGCTAGCACGCATGTGCAGCACAGGAGACAGCTGATTCCCCTCCCCGGAAGTGACGTGGGTATAGCAATCTGACGGAGTATACCAGACTGATAGAACACCGGTAAGCGGTGGCTGGAGGAGCTGATGCCGGGGCGGAATACCGGTATCAAGGTGGGTGTTGGATGCCGGAGGGACCCTGTAGATGCTGTGGCAGGTCCAGTGAGCGGGCGGGAATGGTAAGTAAAACCGGCGGGACTGATCATTTGGAGAGATGGCGGCGAGGGATCAGGTATTCAGATAAGGAAACCGGAAGTCAAGGGTTTCTTAATGAACCCAGAGGCATCAGCCCTGTGGAGTAGGGGGCCTGGGTTTATATAGCTGGGTAACCCCTCCCACAACTTCAGGCTCCGCCTTCTAATATACCATTTTTCTTTTTATATCAGAAAGTACTACGGTTTATCTGAGTGTATTGAACAAAGAAGTAGCCCTTCCAGATGTAATATTTTCCATATTCCTGAAAAAAAAATATATATTAAGCTATTGTGGTGGAATCTCGGTAAAAATAAATTTAGTAGGCCGAGATTACCACGTGGCATGTGTACGTGCATATGCTGACGTATCGATCAGTTGGTTGCACGAGGCAAGATACGATCAGTAGTGTACGGAGCATGTGCAAGAATACAGGATGTAGTATTCCCCTCCTCCATTGTGCTGGACAAGCCATGCGGTCAAGCAGGAAGTTAATTCTTATTTGTAATGATTGGTCAAGAGAATGTGCGGGTGGAGCTTAATATGGGAGGAGTTATGTGCCTATATAGGGAGCCTGCACTATTGTTCAGGGCTCAGAACTTGCTGTATTTTTGGTGACATTAGTCCCTCTGAGTCCCGATCGGTGATCCAATAAAGAATCTCTTCCTTCCTGAAGAAACCTGTGTCCATCTCTCTGTGCTTTGCTTCCGTCAGTTTCTCCGGTATCATTTGGTGCATTGGCCGGGAAGCTCATCGTTCAACGGTAGCTGAGAGGCAGAGGCGTGAGACGGTCTATCTTTGCCCACGTTCTCTACGGCTGCACCCCTGAACTTCTGCGTGGACCTCCCTTCGTCTCGGCGCCACTGGTCTGTTGTCCAGGAGATCATCGGCCTCTACGTAAGAAGTGCTGGGGTGTCCCCGTCGATGAGTGTGAACTCAGGTTCAGGAACGAGGAGGTAAGACAACTGCTGTTTTAGACGGCAGACCCACTAGGGGTATACCGATTGTGCGGTAGGCCCAAAAGGGGTTTAAATCTGTGTATGGAATCTGCCCCCTCTGTCGGAGGGAAGGAGCGAAGGCGCACCGCTCGATCGAACGCTCTTTAGTAAGACCGTTTGATCTGGTTAGTCAGGCGGGGTCCTGTGTAAATAGCCCTAGCCGGACACCGGTGTCTTGTCTAGACTAGCGTTCTAGGGTGTATATTACGTTCGCTAGGTCGGAGGGACCGGGAGACTAAGCGGCGCCTGTGTAAATTCGGTTCGCTAGCTCTCAACCTATCTTGGCTAAGTGGGAAGGCGTGTAAATTTGGAACCCACTAGACTTTTGATAGAGTAAATAGACTAGATGGGCAATTTTGTAAATTTCGCCCTCTAGTTCGCTATATGTGGTGTTTGGGCAGTGTGGCTAACCAAAACGGGTGTATATAGTTTTAGGTAGTCCATTCAAGGTACTGGCCAATAGTTTAGTTGGGATTGTAAATGTGTTAAAGATTGTTAGTAAAGTGTATATCTTGTTAGATAGCGCGAGCTCAGCCGTCTAGCGAGAGTGTTAATAGTGTGTTGCTGTATCATAGTGCACGGTACCATAACCCTGTATATTTACTGACACTGTATATAAGTACTAATCATTGTCGTCTATTGCATGTTTAACACCGTAACCACTAATAATTGTATTGTGACCTTAAATTGTGCTTTGACCTATGCTAACCGTACTGTAACCGATACTAGTAAAAGACGATGTTACTGGGGTGTGTTATAGACGGGTAATTCATATATAGAGAATTATAGCGTGGGTGACTGTATAGTTTCGCCAAAGGGCATAATATTGATTATTTAGTGACTGGTGTAACAGCTGTGTGTGTACGGGAATTCCCTGAGTGATTATTGTGTTATTGTGTACGTTTCACTCGGTAACTGTACCACGTGGTGCTGTTGCCAGAGGAAACGGGTGTGACTGTTGAATAAGAACGCGTGCATAGTATTCGTTGTCAACGACGTTCCATTGATAAGTATGGGCGCGTCAGAGTCAACGATTTCGGATCCCTTAGGTTGTATGGTAAAGAATTTTAAAAAGGGATTCAAAACATGTGATTTTGGGGTTAAAATGTCTCCTGTACGTTTGGTCACTTTGTGCACTAGGGAGTGGCCTATTTTGGTTGCGGCATGGCCGCCGCGTGGCAGTTTGGATCCAACCCTGGTACAGCGTGTACACGTGGCTGTATCAGGTAGGCCTGAACTTTACGGACAGTTTCCATACATTGATTGTTGGGGGCAGGCCGTAAACGACTCGCCAAAATGGATCCGGATATGCCACGAGGAGCAATGTCGCCTCATGGTGGCCAGGACTTGTTTGTCCACTAGGACTGGTGTTAGGCCCATTTTGGACACGCCCCCTGAGTCCGAGATCCCTTTGCCGCCCCTTACTTTCCTTTAAGAGGAAGTGACGCGAATGCAGGAAGCTCTGCACCCCTTCCCCTATTGCCCCCATCCACTTCCGCTTCCTCCTCCAGTACAGAATC